TTTGACTGCTTTGACCTCCACCTAACTAGGTCATAACATCCCCAAGTCCTTCATGCTTATGCTCAATAAACCCTGCAGACAAACAAAGCCCTTGTGCTACTGATGGAAGTGTGTCTCACTTGTGGATGAACAAATCACAAAATCACATTCACCACCACTCACTGCAAAAGGTGGAGGTTGTCAGACCCCTCCAGCTTTCCATGACCGAGTCAGAATTATGGTCTCTTGATCAGAGTCACAACACATCACTAGTCCAACCTGGAGAAGGTGAGCAAGAGCAACCTGTGGTGGAAATGAAATGCCAGCAAGTGACGTAAATTAAAATCCAAATTTCCTGGCCCTCTCCCTCTCTCTCTTAAAAAAAAAAAAAAAACAAACAACAAACACAACCAAAAAACAAACAAACAAAGAAAACCAAAAAAACAAAGAGTATGTTTTCAGGTGAAGAAAACTGACACAAAACAGGGAAATGTGTCAGGGGGAAGGAGGGGAGCAAGAAGGTGTGAGTTCAGAAGCAAGAGCTTTATGCTGAAAGTCACACCTTTGCTATGGTGGAGATTCCCTATGTTCAGTGGGTGAAATCCACATCAGATGAGGGGAGGGGGCACCTTCTAGCTGTACAATCAATGCATTGTTTTCACTTTTCTTCAGTGTAAATGTTGGGTTTCTGTCATTTTGGCAATGGTGAAAGAATATAGAGTTTTTTGTTTCACTTGAGCCCCACAAAGCTGAATTCTCATGCTTTCCTGTTCTGCCTCTCCTCCTCCCCATTTGCTCCTTCTGAGCTGGCAGAAGAGGTGCTATTCTGTTAGGACAGGTGGTTCCCCAAGCCAGTGTTGTGACCTTAAAATGTGACCCCTTTAAGGTAATAGCACTGGATGTTTGTCATCAGTGAGATACTGGCTGTGTCTGCAGTACTGACATAATACAGCTGCTGCCTCCCTTGTGCCACAGCAAAATGTCCCACCTCTTTTTAGGAAAATACTACAGAGCAGATCTGAACTTCCCTTCTGCCCTGCCAAAGAGGAAAGACAGCATGAAGCAGTTTGAAAATGATCCTCCTTTATCTTGCTGTGGTATTTTCCAGTCAAGGCTTATAGGTAAGCTGGATAATATCCTACTGCAAATCTAAGGGTTTGGGAAGCAGGCTACCACCGTCTGCCAAAGCTCATGTTGGCTTGTAACAGGAAAACTTCCTACCAGCACTCACTGTGGTTAGGCTTCTCTGCAAGATCTCAAATAGTAAAATAGAGGACACGGCTGGTTGCTTGTCTTTGAGGCCCAACCTGCCAGTTCCTGGCAAAGAAAGTTGGAAGAAAGAAGCTACAACACTGTTTGAGCCCTTCTGCTTGTCTGCAAGTGATAATTGGCTTGTGCAGTTGTCACTGAATGGGCAGTGAGGAGTGAAAGGTCTGGCCAGAGGAAGCAGCTTCATGGTCAGCAGAGTGTGGTCACATCGTCACAGGGAGCTGGAGGAGGGGTGGTGTGGGTTAGTCTGACTCAATTCACTCACCAGATGAAGTTGCTTGTGCTCCCTGAGCAAGGTGCCTGACTGTGACGGTGCTGGCCTGGTGCAAGTGCCTGTCTCTGATGGTTCAGGTATGTGGGGACAGCCAAAAGCCTAACTGCTGTTTGCAGATTTGGAGTGATTCTTCTGTGGTTACCTTTCCAACACTCACTTTAAACTTACTGTTTCCACCACAACAAGCTTTTTAATGAGCTCGATCAGCAGGTAGTGTGAAAAAATGAATAGAAAAGGACTGTCAGTGGATCCCATGTCGATGAAAGTGCAAAGCTACAAGCTATTTGTTTTTTTTCAGGAAGTATTTTGTAGTAGTTTCTCATCTGTCACACCTGGTTGTTCCTATCCAGGGGAAGCTCTACTGGACCAGGAGGTGATGGTGAGCTACGTGTACTCGTCCCCTGCCCTCCGCTGTGTACAGACAGCTCAACACGTGCTGCAGGGTAAGGCACCAAAACCAGCCACAGCGAAAACATCTTCATCAAACTTCTGTGAAGTCTCTGAGACAAGCAAATAAAAAGATTTTGTGGTTATTAGTGGTTATCTTTAAGCAGGGAAGCCAAGGTGGTTTTGACTCGCTGATAACACAGGCAGCAACAAACCTGCCGCCGCGTGTGCAGTCTGGTGGGATAAAATCCCATTAACTCCAGTCCTCACCAGTTAAATGTGATCTAATGTTGTATGAAACAGAAGTGTTTCACATCAGGTTTAATTCAACATTAGTAGCTGCTCATCAGATCACCACTGTCACCTCTGCTGGAAAACCTTTGGAGCCAAAAAGCAGATGTTTCCAGCGCTCTGAAGGATCTGAATCAGGAGAGACAGATTTCTTCCTTTCTTTTGCAAGCCAAACTATTTTAATGCCTTCATATTGTAGAACCTCTTTCCTCCTCTTTCTCCCCCTTCCTTTCCCTCTCTTCTTTTTTTCATTTCCTGTCCCTTTTCAATAAAATAAAAAATGTGTCTTTTGACAAGGGAAGTCCATTTCTAACACCACCAGACAATTTACTGCCCCACTGTGGAACACTGAACAAAATGCTATATAAAAATGGTAAAAACATTTCCTGTCCAAAGTTTATTCAGATTTCAATTTTTTTCTTCTAGCAGAGCATCACAAGAGGGCGAGCTTCAGAAATTATGATGATTATGATAATAATAATAATAAAATAATAATAATAATTTGAATTGTCTTAACACTAGTCAGACAAGAATATAACAGTGCCTTCATTTAATCAACACGATCCTCTTTTGTTTGACAATAAGTAATTTGTCTTCTTTAATGAAAGTACTGCAGCAAACAAGGGAGAATGTATAGCCTGAATGTAGCACTTTGGGTGTACCTTTCTCCTAAGATGTATTTCTTGTTCTTGCAGGGCTTAAATTAAATCAAAAAGTCAAGATCAGGGTGGAACCAGGTCTGTTTGAATGGACCAAGTGGGAAGCAAGCAAAGTAATCCCTAACTTCATGACTGTGGCAGAACTGGCAGAGGCATCTTACAACATAGATACAAGTTACAGGTAATTGCTCCATTTCTAGCTGATAAAGTTGTGGAGGTTTTTTTCCCCTAAGATTTCTTATCCTTTTATATGTCATAAATCATTACAAACACTGCAAAGATGGAGTGATCCTGATCAAATTCTGTGCACCCTGGGGCAGAGTACGCAGGGTCTGGGGAGGGAGAGGTGAGCCTGACATGAGCCACCTGTCCTGATTTGGGGACAGGCAGGACAACAGTGTTTCACTGTAACTCATGTTTGAGAGGTTGGGGTTTTTTTATTATTTTAATTTGCCTAAATATTAGTATTGTGCTCAGCAAGGACTTTTTGGGGCCCTCATAACTTGGTGGGGTGAGAGGTGATGCCTTTTCTGAGCACTTGCAAACCACACCCTGGCAGGAAATGATGAGGCTCCACTTCAATCTAGCTCCTCATCTTGCTCTCAAACCAGGCTGCTCTGTGTTTGCAGTGCACAGCCAGATCCAGGAAATTACTCAGCTGATAAAAGCAAGTGTCTCTGGGATTTCCCACGTATTCAAGAAAGGGGGGAAGGAAACCTCTTATGTCTTAATGCATTTCTTAAGGAGAAGCATCTTCATTTGAGATTGCATGAAGGAAGAAAATCCTTCATTTTCTTGGAGTATAGGGTTTTCTGGTGTGGTTTTTTTCCACCAACAGACTGTTTTCCATAGGTTGTTTTTTTTTTGTACAAAATCACCTGCCTCAAAAGAAAGCGTGCAAGTGGACAGCATTGAGCAGCTCAGAAGGGAAGCTCTGAAGCAATGCTAACTACAGTGTTCAGGCCCCTCCCAGCTCACTCAGGTCCAGGCAAAAATGGGATGGATGAACTATAAACTTGCACATGTGTTGCCAGTTTCTTCCCACCACGTGCAGGGTTAAAAATCCTCAGGTCCCAGGGTCTGGTTTGACCATGTTCGCCTGTGCAAATGACAACCTTCAGCTGGGTTAGGTCCCTGATTGCTCCCTGTCAGCAGTGGACCAGTTTCAAATTTTCCTGTTTCCAGTGCCACTAAGAGGCAACGTGAGAGCACTTGAAATACTTGCTTCTCACATGGTGTGTGCTGAGAGGAAACCACCCAGCAGCTGGGTGCCTGGGCTGTGATGGTTACCTAGCAGCCTTCTTGATGGTGGAAAGAAGGGGACTCCCAAGACACTGATTTTCCATCATAGATAACCTGTGTCAGGCACTTAGGAAAGCATGAATTTCCCTCTGAAGGACCTTATTTATTTCCACTGACCTTGCCAGACACTTGAGTTGTAGGCAGCTGGGTGGGATTAACTCTGCCTCCCTCTCCTCTCACACTCTCACAGAAGCAGAGGTTGGTCTGTGCTCTCTGTCCCAAAGCAGGACAAAATAAACTCTGCCTTGGCTGTTCCTGCTGTTAATAACTTCGAGTTGCTGTGAAATATCCTTATTTCTTTCCTCTTCATCCTCTGCATGGAGGACAGAACCTTCCCTCTCCACAACAGCCCTTTGCAGACTGTTATCATGTCCTTCTCAGCCATTCTTCTGAACTCTTCCTGTGCTCCCCTGTGGGCTGTGCTTTCTGGACCCCTGTTAACAGGTCCTTTCTGGATTTTTGCTTGTTGATCCTTGTGTCACTTGGCCTGTAGCACTCAGAGCTGGACACAGCACTCTCAGTGAGATCTTAGCCTGGGCTGAGCACTCCTGTTGGTATTTAGCCTGGAGACCACCTGGGCTGGTGCTGGAGATGCTCAGTTCTGGGGCAGGACAGCTGGTTAACAGCATGATTAATACTGAAGGGACAAAGGTGCCAACAGGACAACACATTAAAAAAAAAAATTGCAGCTCTGCCAAAATAGAGACCAGTTTTGAGCACCCCAATCTAGACTTGTCTGATTAGTATTAGATTTTACATACTTTCTACTTCTGCCATTTGTGATGACAATGTACTGAGGACTCACCTGTGAAAGAACACTGTGATACCACGCCTTATTGTAATATATTAATCTAATCTCATTCCTGCCTGTTCACTGAATAAGGAGTCAGTCAAGTCAGGGCAAGGGGGGGACAGTTGTTCGTAGAAAAAAATTAACCCCCTGTGTTGTATCACAACACATGGCTAAGGATTTGCCAGCTGTAGCAGTGAACACTTCCCATTCCTGGAGAAGACAGATTATATGGATGACATGAGCCTGGGGAGGTTTTATTCTGTTGCCAAGAAGCCCTGGTTCAAGCATCAGCTAAGTGGGTAGGTATCAAAGACAGGAGTCTGGTGAGAGGCAGCAAATGACTGTGGTCCTGCTGCCTATTTTGCCTGTCCTGCAGATCTCAGAAGGCTGACAGGGTCTCCCATCACTGGGAATTTGGTGTTCCCAGCTACCTACCCTTGGCACCTCAGGGCACATCAGGGCCCTTCAGGTTCTTCCCTGCTGCTGCTGGACTGGAGCAGTCCCCAGGCCTCCTCCTGGGGCTGGGCAGAACTGGTGTCCTGGAAGCTGCTGTGGAACCCTAGGATGGGTCTGTGCAGGGGGAATGTTGTCCATTGACCCAAGCCCCACCAGCCCTGTGAGGCTTCCCTGATTCACAGCGGTTTGACTCTTACTTTTTTGAAAAACATTCAGTGCAGGAAGAGCCCTGGCATATAAAAGAAAGAAGAAATGCCTGGTCTCAGCAGAAGTGCTCAGGTGCTTAGGAGGGATACATTGCGATAAATTCTCCTGGAAACACCTTCTTTTTAACTCTGGGAGTGAAAGTCTTTACTATCCATTTGACCAGGGGAAAGCTAATGCTCCAGGCAAGCTGAGGTCACAGTGTGTCAGCCAAGACAGCAGACAAAGCTTTTAACCAAGTGCCTTTTCTCTGGTGTAATCATTCAGTGGTGCTATCAGCCTCCCAGCAGACACCTAGATTAACATATTTGTGATTTTGTTGTCAGGGGTAACTTCCCACTCTCTTCTCTGGTGCCATCGGAAAGTTATGAAGACTATTTAAGCCGAAGCTCTGTGGTTATGAAACAGATCATCACCGCCTGCCCCAGCAAAGGTGAAGGTTTCAGATCTTTGTATATTCTGTCAGACATTCAGAAACAGGAAGTGGCAGAGATTTGCCAGCAGAATCACATTTAATGTGAGTTGTTGGTACTGCACAAAGCTTAAAGTAGTCTGAGTGAAAGTCCTGGGCTACACTGAAGTAAAAATACATGCCATTTATGAGCTAGAAATAAGAAAAAGTAAAATTAAACAGAGACAGTGGAGTACTAAATTGCAAGAGTATGCTCTTTTCTTGGACTTTCTACATTGGGTTGTAGCTCAGCAAAAGATAATACACTTTTCTGGAAAGCTTTTTTCTTTTTCACTAGCAAACGCCTTCTCTCACTAGCTGGTGTGCTACAACACACCTGATTTTTTTCTGCCTGACACAATACACCCAGCCACATGATCAAAAAGGTCTGGAGAGATGAACAGCCCCGAAAGCACCTCATACCCATCTGCTGATGAGGAGCCTGGCAGTGCTGCAGCTCCCTTACTACTCCTCTTTGCTTTTTCTGGGTGTACCAGGCGTCATCCTCATCGTGGGCCACGGCTCTTCCCTGGCATCTCTCACCCGGCCTCTGATGGGGCTCCCCAGCAGAGACATCAGTGACTTTGCCCAGATGGTACGGAAGGTAAGAGGATACTTTGCCATCGGGAAGCTTTTGTTTTGTTTTATTGTACCCCTAATAGGGAGCCTGCTTATGCAGGGAGACATGTGAGCACGCCAATACCAATGATGTCAGCTTTCTCATTCCAAAGGGAATCTCACGCAGTTTTAGCAAAGCACCGGAGGTCAAGAGAAGGATTTCATCTGGGAGGCTTTGTATGTGACTAGCAGTTATGTCTTTGGAGAAGATTTTCAACCAACTCCCCCGGAAAGTCAATGCCATGTAACACCTACAGCCAAGAGGCGCATTTGGAAACCTGGAGCTATCCTCCTTCCTTTCAGCCTGGAAACGTGAAGGCTTTGGGGTGACCTAATTGCAGCCTTCCAGTAGCTAAAGGGAGACTACCAGAAATATGGAGAGAGACTATTTACAAGGGCCAGGAGTGGCAGGACAAGGTGGAGTGGCTTCAAACTGAAAGAGAGTAGGTTTAGATTAGATATTAGGAAAAAAATTCTTTACTGTGAGGGTGGTGAGGACCTGGCACAAGTTGCCCAAGCTGTGGTTGCTCCATCCCTGGAAGTGTTCAAGGCCAGGCTGGATGGAGCTCTGAGCAACCCGGGCTAGTGGAAGGTGTCCCTGCCCATGGCAGGGGGATTGGAATGGGGTGATCTTTAAGGTCCTTTCCAACCCAAAACAGTCTGTGGTTCCATGGTTCTGTGAAACAGGGCTAAGAACCTTCCTTCTCCTCCTCATGGTGAGTGTAACCTACAGTTTTATTCAGTCTTTAGATATATTTAGATATATTTTTACTACCACTGTTGATGCATAAGAAGGGGTGAATATATTCTGGTCATCAAAGCCAAGCATGAATGTGGAGAGATAAGTTCACCTTTCACCCCTCACGCCTCCAGAACGGTTTTAGTTCATTTCAGAAGAGACAGAATATCAGGATCTGCTCTCTTCTGTAGCAAAACCCCCCTTCATTCCCAAGCAATGACCCTGCTGGTAATTCTGCTGGTAACTTCTCTCCTAGATCCCTTCCCTGGGCATGTGTTACTGCGAAGAACTGAAAGAGGAGAACAAGTGGCAGATGGTCAGCCCACCAGTGAAGACCTTAACTCATGGAGCAAATGCAGCATTTAACTGGAGAAATACTATCCTGGAAGATTAAAGGGTCAGCTCTGCCTTTGCAGTTGTCAAAAATGAGCCAAAGGCAGGTTATGGTTCAGCACAGCCAAGTGATTCATCCAGAAGACACACAGTGGGTGGGAAATGCCCTCTCCGAGTTGTCAAAGCACAGAAAAACACTTCCAAGTTTGGTGCCTGAATTTTGTTTTTATTTTGGTGACTGAGAAGAGGGGAACTATGTACTGGAGTTCAAGTGACAAATAACACTTCTAGTGGTGAGGAAAGTTCCTTTTAACCTTTTCTGAGAGTACCAATGTTTAATAAACACAGATCTAACTACCTGATTATAAATTCCACTGCAAAAGGCATTGAAGTAGACAATGTTGTATTTTCAAGACCAAACTACTTGCAGCAAGAATTCCTTTTTTTTTTATTTTCAAGCATGTGGATATTTTCAGACAACACAAAAACTGGGACTGAAAAAAGTCACCTCCTACTCGAAGAGGGGATCATCTCTACCTAAAACCACTGGGTTTCCTGTTCACTCCATCAGTTCTGTGACAGTAAATACCACACTGACTCTTTATTTACCTCTTCTATGAAGGGAGTTCATTTTCTATCAAGCAGCTCCTCATTCAGCTATTCTCAAGGGATTCATATTGCAAAAGGGTCTAAATTCCTCTTTTTTGAAGAAAACTAAACTGATGGTTTTGCTGTTGCTGGGACAAAGAAAGTGTGTTACTGTACTGGTGACAAAACCATGACATGAACAACTCTTAACTCTGAACCCTTGCTGTGATGGCACTTGCAGGACAACAGCTTTGCTTTGTGCTGTTTTGTGCCAAATTGTATAAATGGTGACACATCTCCTGGATGGGTCGCCCAAAATGTCTCTGTAGCTCCTCTGGGTGATTTGTTTAATTAAGACAATGTAACCCTAAAATATTAGGCACAAGCAGGAAAATGCCTTTCCACAGCCTGTTTTTCTTTCTAATAATGTCCATTTCTAGTTATCAGATAACTACATCCAGGAAAGCACAAATTTTCCTTTCAATGAAAGGAAAAAAATAGAAATGTTTGCCTCTAGGCATGACTGGAAATGTTTTCATTTTCACTCCTCACTACCTGCTCCTATTTGACATCTCTCTGCATTCATGCCCCCTCAGGGCAAGTGGTAGAGCCCACCCCACACTCCATCTTTGGGGCTGAGAGGTGTCTGACAAGCACCTTCATCTGTGGGTGTAGAGATTTCACTATCTCACCCGTGCACCTGAAATGACTCGTTCTGACTTTCCAGCTCTGGTGAAGTTGCTTCAGCTCTTGATTTTCTGACAGCGCTGTGATTTTCAAGTGAAAATCAAATGTCCCAGGGCCAAGGCCGGAGCCCTTTAACTATCAAGGGATGTAACAAAAAGTGCAGCCAGAGGCAGATGAGCCCTGTGCTCCCCTTTTTGCACGACCCACCTGCCTGCAGGGTATGGAGTTGGCACTAACTGACAAGAAAAAGAAAAAGGAAACTTCCTTCAGGGACAAGAGTCTTCAATGCCACTTAAAAGACTGGTCATTTTTAAAGCATAGACATAAAAAGCGTTTTAAAGCATTTTAAAGCATTAGACATAAAATTTCATGTGCTTTCATGGGAAATTTTCCTCTATCTTTTTAGAAATTATGTCAGGGGTTTTTTTCTTAGACATTATCTGATATATTAATCTTAGATTGTGCTGCAAACACCAGTTTGGGTAAAGAATCTGGGACTTCCTTTAAAAAAAAAAAGCAAAATAAAATACCAAGCAACACATCTCCCTTCGCCCAGTGGCACCAGAAATGTTGTCAAGGTGGGTCTGTTGTGAAAAGCAACCCATAAGAACAGAATCTTTTGCTCCATCTCCTTTTTTTGATCAGATTTCCTACTCTGCTGCCACGGCGCACAAAACAGCAACGAAATATTTCTCTTTGCTTTTCAAGCTTTTTGGTCTGCAGAGATCATGTTACTAAAAGCCAGTTTACGGCACTGTGACGCTGTTATTGTCCATCAAGCTCCTATCCATAATGAGTGTGTGCAGCTCCCAAGAGGCAGGTGAGAGGAGGGGAGAAGGACATGGATGGGGGAAGTGTCTGTCTGTCTCTTACAGGTGGGGATATGGGGGAAGGTTTCAATCAGTTCACCCCATCTTGATGTCTAATCAAATGCCAACGGGGCACGAACAACACCATTGACAAGCTAAATATTTTTAACAGG